GTTCAATGAAGGGTGTATGAGAGAAATACATGAGGTAGCTAGGCCAACTATGTGTCAAGAAGGTATTATCAGTACCTCGCCAGCAGTAATGGATAAATTACTACAGATTTATTTGCTATAAAACATTTACCAGGAATGAATGCTGTGTTACAATTCTACACACACACAAAACCTCAGATAATGGGGAAACTAGGTTGTCCCTGAATATATGGCAGATCTGTTCTTGATTAACTTTAAGGTTTTGTTTAAATGATAGCCTTGAAGCAGAAACTCTCATTTGCAATTTTCAAGGACAATATTATTCAAGCCAAAAGAGAAAATACACACTATTCATCATATAATATCAATTCTCACTGTTTTCTTATGTTTACATAATATTCTCCAATAATAAACACAATGGAATAAACCACACACACACATTCCTCCTACCTGCCAACAATTTGCAGCCCTTGGGGATGGATGGATGAATGAGTAAATAAACTGAGCCAGAAAGCTCTCCTTCAAATGCACAAAGTGATTACCTTAAGTGATAGATGCATTTATATGAGCACACTCAAGAAACAGAATGAAAAAACGTTGCTATGAAATGATGTTAGAAGACTGAACAATGCAAGAAGCACAATAATATCACCTACCAATAAGTATGAAGTCATCCAATATGACTGATCCACAATTAATGGCCATTGCTGAAGAATGAGAATTTCAAGAGCAGTAAACAGACATATTTATAATGAGCTGCAGCTACTCACAGCGCTACTGTATTGAATTCTATAGTTTCTTTTATGCATGTGTACTTCTAGTCCAAGCCATAATGACAGGAGAGAAACCACAGGGGGAAAAGATGATAGGGAAAAAGGGGGAAAAATTGAGTCTTTCTTTTGTACTAGGTTTCTATATGGAGGAAATATTCAGCTTTCTTTGCCCTTTGTGAAGAAAAGAAAAGAAAATCTGCACAACTAGAATTGGGCAGGAAATTACAGCTGCTTGTACCTCCTGCAAAAGCCCAGCATATGGGCAAACAGGGAATAGGGGACTAATCATTACAACAAAAATGACTGGCATTCAAGGAAGGGTAAACTTCATTGCCCTTGAGTATTTATTATTTTTCAGTTCTGCAGTCCAAAGCTTTCCCAATGCAAATTCTACAAGAAAAGTAAACATCTTCCTGACGTATATAACAGGTGGAGAAAAAGATCTTGTGAACTGGACATCTAATAAGAGGAAATGAATGGAACATTCCATGAATACAGGTGAACTGAGATGAATTACTTACTTGACAGGCATTATAGATTAATTGATGCTCCAATTTCTTTACGCCTAGAATCTGCTGGAACATCTCATATAGTTGTTCTTTGCTTAAGATGAGTTCAGATACAGCACTTAAAGCCATCCTGTTGGACTGTTTGTACAGATCCTCTTCTCCCCTGTAAATAGCATCATATTTGGCTATCCAAGAACTTAGCACAGTCTCTTTACTTAATCCATCTATCTCAGGCAAGCTCCGGACTCTTTTTTCTATGTTCTTCTTAAAAACATCTCTGAAATCATTTGCTGAGCATCCGCCACTGTGGACCATCCTAGCAACTCGGTCACTCTTGAGGAAAACCTTTTGAACAAAAGAAAAAACACATTAGAAGAAAGGTAGGTGGGAGAAGAGGCAAATAGATTTTTGAAGACTATTGTGCTATAGAGCAATTTTAGTGCTTGGATAAGGAACCATCTGGACATTCATGTCAGCTAAAAACATTCTGGAAGCAGGCAGTGACAAACTATTTCCAGAGCACTAAAACAAGAAAAATCTTGTCATTCAACAGCTATTGAGTTTTACTTATGCTGAGTAGTTTTTAATCATCATGTTTCAGATAACTATGCAATTACAACTTGCAGTTGATCCAAATTATTTTTCTCATGCACTTCAACATTTTTCTAAAGAAATTACATGTCTGAACCAAAATATATCTGAATTTACATCCCTGAATGATTTTTCTATGACTGAGCCTAAATATAAATTTATGTATTGTTGGAAGATATCTAAGCAGGCCATTCCATGCATTCAAATTTATTTTCTTGAAAGGTACTTCAGTACTCCTTCTAGAATACCCTGTTGGTAAACATGATTTTTCTTCAAGACATTGGTGGAAAACAAAGGCCAGCGTTTTCTAAAGATGCTCCCTATAAACATAATTAAAGAATAAGGATTACATGCTTAGGCTGCTGAATCTGATGTTTTTAGTAATAAGCAACAGCACAAATAATTCTATCTTAAACTAGATCTGATACTTTTAGTTACTCACCTCCGGGAACAGAAGATGGTAATAATCCTTTGCCTAACCTGGAGAAAGTTTCATTTGTCAGAAAGTTGACCCCAGGTCCTCTCTAAAATGTACACTCTCCCTTACAACTCTTGCATAAATTTCAAGGATGAGGCTTGAACATTTAGTAGCACTTTTGAAGCACAGCTTAGAAGCTTAGAAGCATACATGAAGCTCTTTGAATCTGCTTTGAGACCCTCTATGTGGCTTCATAGGATGCGTACGTAATTAATCAAAGACTCTGAAAAGTCACAATTTATTCACAAAAAACTATGCACCCAAAATTCATTAATTGTATCATAACATCCTCCTCACTCACAGTGTGATCCTCAGTTGGGTAGGACCGCCCTTGACATTAATCCAAATAAAAATAGCAATGAGTAGAAGAAATATATGGTGCCATAGCAGAAGAGGAATGGGGAAAAATTTCAATGCTGACAGAAGACGCCCAACCATCTTGATTCTATCTGAAAAGCTATGGGCAGCTAATTCATTACATAAGGCAAAAGACAAAATGGAAAAAAATGCTACATGGTTACCTAGTAGAATATAATATAGAATCTTAGACTATATTCTGAAAAGCATAGTATGTAGCAAGTTTGCTGCATTTGACCAAATTTGGGTCTGCAAACTCTATGTCCATTGTAGGGGATTTGGAGAACTAAGTTAAAAACCCTTAACCCACATATACAGTATCTTGTCAGGGAAAAGAAAACATTGGCTTCAATATATGGCATCAAAACAGGCAACTATTCCATTACAAAAAATGTCAGTTTAGCCACAGAACAGTTAAGAAACCAAGAAATGCTGAATAACTTCGGAAAAGACACTGGGAATAAGCAGAGCTCTACAAAAGCTAAAGAAAGTAATTCCCTGAAAGCCACTATGGACTAACTGCCTTTCTTTCAAATCCTTACTATCTTTGAAGTCTTGTCCCATTATGTCATAATCACACTGGTCTCACTGACTTCATAAGGCATGGAGTATGTTATGTCCAATGAAATGCCTGGCTATTTCATCCAATCACATATATGTTCTAATTTGAGTAACTCTATTAAGGGGGATTGTCTCTCCACCATTCTATAGGCTCTCCTTGTTTTGCCACAAAAGTGGTCAGTAGCTCAATTAATGATTCAATGTCTTATGTCCAGTACTATTCAAATGTATCCCTAAAAAAATTCTATTCCACTAGAGTGGCAGACGAAGAAGCTATGAAATATAACAAGTATATAAGCAAAATGCCATGTAGATTCTGAGCTCAGAGCTGATAATTATCTTTTAATGAAGGTTGAAAACAACATTCCAGAAGCAACTATGCCTAATAAATATCATTCTCATGGTTGAGATTTCTGAACTATTTGCTCAAGGATGATGATTATCTGCACTGGTATCAACGTTCTTTCCCCCCCCAAAGGACACAGGGTCAGCTTATTTGAACAACGGCAATTTGGTACCCTTGAATATCAAAGTACTGTAAAAATTCTGCATTTTCAAAAGAGGGAGCTAAGGTGTCTTCTTCACTTTCAGATGATATAGCTGTCTCCTTGGTGTTGTTTTGTTTCTATCTCCATTGCAATTCTCACTTCTAATAGGATCAGTAGATGTGCACTTGTGCTCAGATTGTCTTTGGGCGGTTTCCTATATAAGAGAACTATGTCACGTTGGCCATTGCTCTTTGGAGTTTTTTTGTATGTGTAAGAGACCAGTGACTCATTAGAACATGCTTGTTTTATAACAATAATATGGAAATTGGATATTTGTGGTAGGAGATGGAACAGCCACCACCATAAAGTACATGGTTTCTATTCTTAAACAATGCATATGGAGATCTAACTTTTAAAATTGCTACTGAATCTAAGCCTCTTGGGCCTACATGTACATCAGAACAAAGGCAACCAATGGGCTATACATTTTCTTGAATGTAGTAACTAAATGTTATTAAAAAATAAAAAGTGATATATTCAAATACATTTTTTAAATTTGCAAAATACATTATGAAATAAAATTAGAGAAAACAATAAGTTAATTTTTCTCTTTTTCACCTCTGTTTTAGGTGGAATTCCAAAGCATTCAAAAATGACCAAGGTAGTCCTCAACTTACAACCATTCGTTTAGTGACTGTTCAAAGTTACAATGGCATTAAAATGTGACTTATGACCAGTTTTCACACTTACAACTATTGCAGCATCCTCACAGTCACATGATCAAAACTGGCATATATTGATGAGAGTTGCACTGTCCCAGGGTCATGTGATCACATTAACCTTCCCAGCTGGCTTCTGGCAAGCAAAGTCAATGCCACATTCGTTTAAAGATTGCATGTTTCACTTAACAACTGCAGTAATCCGATTAACAACTGTAGCAAAAAAAAAAGTCATTGCTTACAATTGTGGTTGTAAGTCAAGGACTACTTGTAAATTAACATCCTAAAACAATATAAAAACCATTCTAAATTGTTAGGAATTTAACAACTGTAGCTGGAGTTCTTCAAATCCAACACTTAAGATATCAAACTCCAATTTCCAAAATCACATTGGATGTTTTTAGAACACAATTCAAAAGAAGCTTCCCAAGTTTGTCGAGAAAAGATATTGTCATAAAGCAAACAAGCTAAACAGAATCAAAGGTAATGTTTTATTTCACACACCTGAAGCTCAATCTTTATCAAGATAATCAAGATTGAAATAATCATTTGTCCCCAGATTGAGCTTTTGAGCCTTTATGAATTCCTGCAGGTACTTCTTGACAGATGGCTTCATTAGGAGAATTGATAGCAGAAGATGCTTCATTTGATGGCTGAATACCGAATGGTTCTCCTGTAGCTGTAATCCTTTCCACATTTCCAAGCATGTTCCACTTACACACAGGACATGTTTGGTGCTTTAAAAGCCAAGGATCAACACAGATTTTGTGGAAAAGATGCCCACAACGCAAAATACGGGCTACATCTTTAGGCTTGTACATTTCTAAACACACTGCACAGTTGTCTCCATTTGATCCAACTTCTTTGCCATCCTCTTTTAATGTACGAAGCTCAAGATGATTGATAGCTTTAGTAATATCAAGCTCCTGTTGACACCTCTGTATCAAATTCCTTGCTCTTCGTAGCTTTCCAGCACAGTAAAAGGTGCAATATGCCACAGCTATAGAAGAAAGAATAAAAATGGTGCCCATATAACGGGCTAACCATGGGTTACAGTGCTTTCCAACATCAATGGTTGCCATCACTTTGATGCCATTCTGAATTAGATGCAGAAGGTCCATGCCTTTCAGGTTGCCAATCATAACAGCCACAGGGCCTTCCTTCCCAAAGTTAAGCATTGGAAATACATTGTTACCTGTACCAGGATAATTATAGATGATCACACCAACTGCTCCTTTTTCTGCAGCCACACTGATTTTTTTTGTAAATGAACACTGCCCTCTTATGATGAGTGCTATCCAACATCCTGCATTTCCTGACTTAAAATTTGTTACAGAACTACAAGCATTTTGATGGGGGTCCTCTGCAGCTATCACGATGCCGGACACCTTCTTCAAGGGTGAGGCTTTGGCGAACACTCCGTTTTCTGCAATCTCCCATACAGTCCGATTCCCAACTTGAAATGATATGTTAATATTGGCAATCCAAAAGCTGTCAGCTTTTGAACTCTGCAGGTGGAGCCCAAGACAGATGCCAAGGTATAGAAAGCATAATGATTTTATCCTTCTTCTTTCAGTCCCAGTCCCAAGTAAGTTCATGCTGACATCTGCTAAGCAGTCCCAGAGCCAATAACTAAAAGACAATAAAAATCATCAGCACATCAGAACTGAGTATTTCCAGTGAGATACCAAAAACCCATCTCAAAAATTCTGGAGAAACAAGTTGAAGGGTCTGTCTGCAAGTATGTTGCTTAGATGAAGATTTGACAGATTTTTTCTCTCTCTTTCCAATGAAGTCATTTATTGTTAAGTAATGAAATTGTGACATCATTAACACTTTGTCAAGCAGGACTCTTGTGCTTTATCTTATCTAAAATTACACTATTTAAAAACAAACATTTTGATATAAACCTAAGTTACACAAATCACAAGGTATACAGTATCTGGGATACTTTGTACTGAATGTCTTGTCATTTAATGTGAATATGCTGTGAGAATGCATAATACTGAAATTTAAAGTTCAATAAAGTACCCTTAAAATTGCTTAGCTTTTTAAGATCAAACAAGAACATCTAAGTACTCTTACTTTGTTAACTTTCAGTTCAGCAGCACATATAGATATGCTAACATATATATCAATATTGTAGAATAGAACAGAACAGAACAGAACAAAACAGAACAGAACAGAACAGAATTAGAATAGGAGCTGGAAGGGACCTTGGAGGTCTTCTAGTCCAGCCCCCTGTTCAAGCAGGAGAACCTATTCCATCTCAGACAAGTGACTGTCCAGTCTCTTCTTAAAAACTTTCAGTGATGGAGCACCCACGATTTCTGAAGGCAAGCTGTTCCACTGGTTAATTGTCCTCACTGTTAGGAAGTTTCTCCTTAATTCCAGGTTGCTTCTCTCTTTGATCAGTTTCCACAAAAACTCATAGACATTTAGGTGGGGTTTTTTTTGGAGGGGAGGGTTTGAGCAGATGAAGAAATCACTCCCAACCTCTCACCTCTAATTCCGTAAATATTAAATTGGCAATATATACACCTGATCAGATCAAAAAATATTAGGGCTATGCAATTCCTTGCAGAGAAGTGTTTTGGAATGTCCAGAGGTGTGTACAAATACCTCTTCTTAAAATATTTAAAGTGGCTGCATTTTTTTTTTCATTCTCAGTGGCTGCTTGGAAACCACTCCCTACTGTCTTTGGAAACATAGGTATGCACAGCCCTTTTGCTTGGCTAGAAAGAACCAAATAACACAATCTAAAACAGCTGGATGCTCTTCGGAAGCAGCATTGAGGCTGGAAAAAGATGTGGCTGCTTTAACTATTTTCTGAAAAAAGGTGCTTCATGTGTTCCCATATCGTCTGAAGCACCTCTTTGCAAAAAGTTGTCCATGTGTGTGTATGTGTGTTTGTATGTATATATAAAATAAAAATACAGGAATGATTCTTTAGTTAGAAATTGAATATCTCTTTTACATAATTATTCATGTCTGAAAAGACAATGCTTATTTCTATACACATACTTCATACATAGCAGCAGAGATCTCTGCCAACTGCTTGCTTTTCTTGTTTTCATAAACACACTGTTTTTACTGAACAGAAATTGAGAGGCTTTTTTTCTTTTTCTTTTTTTACAAAAAGAAGTTTAGAGTTGGCTTGGTAGACTTTGTTCAAATCCAGGAACTGCCATGAAACTCACTGAGACATCAGTTTGCTAATTCAGAAAACTGATAGCTGACATTTTTCAAGATAGAAAGGAACAACAATGTTCAGGTTCAAAAAGGCAGAGGCTCAAAACATAAATGAGGGAAATTAAAAATTTGTGGAAGAATGCACAGCAACATTTTTTTTCTCTTGAACTTTGTAACAGGACCTTGTATACAATAAGTTTCACAATTTCCATTTCTAGCAAAAGCAAGATGTTAATTTCACACCAGGCAGAAGTTGGCAAAGCATTTTTCTAAGCACAAGTCTTTGGGTTCCTTACAGGGTTCAATATTTTTCCTTCCTAAGGAGAAATGTTCAAATTCTCTCTAAACAAAATCTATTTGCAGCTCAGGATATGCAGATGCAGACATGAAGATGTGCAATTCAATTTATCTTGCAAATTTTTGATATACCTCTGATATTTTATATCAGGACAATCACTTGATACACATTATTTATTTCAAATTAATATGCATTCATATTGTAATAATTAGGGGGAAAAATCTCACCTACATAGATTTCTTAGTTTTCCCTTCAAGACAGAAATGATACGTTATTAGAGAGAACGTCTCTTTTAACTCACTTTTCCTTTTCAGAATAATAATAAGAAGAATAATTCCATAGCATTTAATTAACTGCTAAGTGTTTTTGTGAGGTAGGAGAGGGGGAGAATAACAAATTGTTGTAAACTGCTCAGAGACACCTAGGTGAGATTAGTGATGTAGAAATTTAATAAATAAATACATACATTCCAATGGAAAGAAAAATCTTAGCACTAAGTCATTTCAGACCTAAAAATATTACGTTTTAACATGCATTCTTAAGTCCTTTCAGGCTCCATGTTTTAACTTAGCCTTGTCCATTGTGGGCCTTTCAGATGAGTTGATCTTCAATTCCCATTGGGTTTGCTAACCAATGTGGTTACTAATACTAGTTTGGGGAAAGATAACATTTTAACAATCCATATAAAAATGTGTGCTTCACTTCTAGAATTATCAAATAATAAATACAGCAATGTAGTTAAACTCATTGTGGAGACTAAGGTGAAGTTGCTCTTGAAAACCTTTCCAACTACCCATCTGACATGATTGTAGCAGAAGGTAATGGCTTTAGTACAATAGAAATGGAAGAGAAACTCCCATAGGCTGACACTTTCCATTAGTATGTTCTTATGATTGAGAACCAGAAAAGAAAAAAAAAGATTTCATCTCCAAATAAACCATGCCCTATGTTATATTTTAGAAATGATGCCACTTTTCCAAGATTAGAAATATGATGCGAGAGTTTTCTATAGTTTTGGGGTTAGAATCTTTGTCTACTGTGTATTGTCAGTGTATCAACCAGAATTTATCTCTAGTCTGACAAATCTGGTCCTCTGCCCTCTGAAAAACTAGGTTCCTTTCCCAATATGTGTAGCCCCTATCCATGATTGCCTGTCTCAAATAGAATTCAGAAGAATTACCTTTTGAATTTTTCATATTGTAGGGATCTGCTTTAAGGGATGTAATGGGCAGTAAAATTCAAAAGCCCAATTTCTTTAACCAGTGCTAGATTTTAATTATTGCTGAACATCCTGTATTATTGGCTTAGTTAGTTCATTCTGTCCCACTATTCGTTTGAGGATGGTGACTAGAACTCAGGCCCTGGTCTGTTCCCAGGAGGTCCAAAAATGCTCTCCAGAACCTAGAAGTAAATTGGACCCCACTGTCTGAAATTATGTGATGTGGGGCCCCATGTAGGTGGTAGACATGGTGGAGGAACAACTTTGCTAGAGTCTTTGCTTTTGGGATTTTTTGACAAGGAGTGAAATGGACCTGCTTTGAAAATAGGTTGGTCACCACCCAAATAACGGTGTGTCCCACAGTTTCTGGCAATTCTACAATAAAGTCCATAGAAATTTCTTCCCAGGGTGCTGAAGTGTTTGCGATCAGCTGCAGAAGGCCAAGTGTTTTCCCCTGCCTTAGGGGAAGCGAGGGCATGTGGGTGGTAGTGCAGCGGGCGCTAGGGGCAGGGACAGCCCCATGCTCTTCAGGCCCTGGCGGGTGCTGTAGTTCTCATGCCAGCTGTGTGAGGTGGGCGTGGGGGTGCCCCTGGCTGCTTTCGGCCTTTTGGCTATCCCGGGGGGATTCTGTTGCTGTTGCTGTTTCCGCGCCTGGTTCCCCCCCCACCGCTGCCTCCCAAGCCAGCCAACACACATTAAAATCCTGTGCAAGCCAAGCCAGCGGTAAAGGTGGAGTTTGGGAGGCAGTGGTAGGGCGTAGCCCAGGCATGACCCAGCAGCTGCAGCAACAACAGAATCCCCCCAGGACAACCTTGCTGGCACCAGCTGCATGCTACCGGCATTTACTGGTAACACTAAGTGCCAAGACTGGAGTCCAGACCAAGGGGGAAGCAGCGGTGTCAGAGCGCTCCATACGGGGGGGGGATTCTGCTGTTGCTGTTGACAGAGAATGCAAGCTTCATCTGCTTAAAAATGGGGCAGTTGGAAACAGAGTGAATCCCTCCATTTTCAACCGCCCCATTTTCAAACGGACAAAGCTTCCAGTCTCTGTCATTTCTCCAAACAGTGTGTGGAGCATCCAGATCCCCTGTCTTCCCCCCCCCCCGCCTCCATGCTGGACTTACCTACGCTGCTTCAAGGGGTCGGCGGGCTGCAGTTGCTGCTAGACACATTCCGCCCCCATGCGCTCACTGCCGCTTGGGCTGGCCATGCCAGCTTATTTGGGGGGCTTATTTTGGGAGTATGGCTTATATTAGTCCCACTTCCAAAAATCAAGCTCAGGCTTATTTTCTGGGTAGGTCTTATTTTCGGGGAAACATAGTAACTATAACTTTATTGCTTGTATCTTAAAATTTATATTAACTTATTTAGTATCCTAGTATGATTTATGTTGATTGCTTATTTAGTACCTTTATTTACAGTACTGAGTGTTGTATCTTATGATTTATGATGCATATATTTTATGATTATGATCATGATTTATCACTTGTTGCTTGTATGTATGCTGAGAGCTTATTCATTGCAGACAAATTCTTTGTGTGTCCAATCACACTTGGCCAATAAAGAATTCTAATTCTAATTGTAATATGTAAAAGCCTATCACTAATGTATTTAAATAAAGTAAAGCAAAAATTAAACATCTTTGAGAATTGCAGGTCATACATCAAGGGTTTTAATATCACTTTCCTCCATAGATAAGTGCATTTAGTGCAGAGAATAATCATGTGTACACATAAATCTGTATTTGTATCCCTATGTATGTCTTACAAAAGGAAAAAGTAGCCTCTCTTCGCTTTGGATAATGGTATAATTGCAAATAGGGCAAATCCCATGCTTTAGCAATCAGAGGTCAATACAGTTTTGTGGAAGATATGCCTGCAAATTAAAAT